AGTTATTACTACTATGCCTACCAGGTGAGGTATTCCATGGTGTAGTCTTTATGAGTTGCAGTTGCATTAATAAAAGAAACATTTTTTCAGATGCCTAAGTTATCATTTTGGTAAGGGGTGCATTGCCTCTCTGTCTGTCTGCCCTTTTCTCTGTCTGTCGGTTAAACATTTCTTTCTGTATTTTAATTGTGGATTATTTAATTGGATGTGGCCAATGTTCTTGAGTATTAACTGCATTTCAGGGTAGAACAAAACTAACACTGTAACACACCATTTGCCTCCCAATGTTTTGTCACTCTCCATCCATCGAAATGCTTCCTTCCAGATGTTCCAGCTTCTGTTTGCTGGGGATGACTCTGCTGCAGATCCTGTACCCCACCAAAACAGGTCCAGAGAAGTAAGAAGTGTTGCTGACAATGAAATTGATGATACTTGGAGTCCTGGGACATCCAGAGTTCCTCCCATATCAGAGCAAGAGACAGCAAACACCTTTCTTCAAGACAAAATATCTGACATTGCTCAACAGATGGCTGGGAATAAATTGCCCAACGTAAATTGGAGGGAACATTTATCCCAGATTGCAAAAAACCTTCAGAATGCACCAAAGATGCCAGAAAACTCAGGATCTCAGTTTAGTGAAATGAATCCACAGAAAATGATGGAAGGAGTTTCAGGGATAAAACCAATGTCTCTAGTCATGAAGAACATTGCAGACTTGCTCAATTCCACCCAGATACAGGATGGTAGGGAACAGCCAGAGGGACTGGTGTATAGAATACTGGAGGGGAGTTTATTGAATGACAGCAAGGTGGTTGATACCATAAGTCACGTCCTGGGATTTGGGGGCTTGGATAATAACACTGTGACTTCTGTACAAGTGATCAAGGCATTAGAGGTATGTTCTTGTAATTCAAAGGCACCTTTTGTGGGATGTTACCGCTTTGGGGGTGGGGAGGGGAGGATGTGTGTGTGTGTGTGTGTGTGTGTGTGTTTGTGTGTGTGTGTTTGTGTGTGTGAAAGAGAGAGAGACAAAGAGGGAGAGAGAAATGGAGATAATCCATTGCATCAGGATCAGTTTCAAGCTACCACTTTTCAACACTTTATCCTGTGTCACTATAATAGGTTTGATAAATTAACATTTTAAGAAGGTCATCATCTTTTCTTGAATAAACCCATTAGACAGGATTAAACATTCCCTGCATGTTTAGTTAATGTGAAATTAAATCATGATACATGCCTTTTAGGCATGAGGACAATCTGGGTGTGAGACAGAAGTAAGATGGAAAGACTTTTTATTCATGATCTGTGTGTGCTTATAAAGAAAGGATATTTATATCATGTCAATTTTTTTCTTGTTTTTGTATGTTCTCAAAAGGAATAGATCTGCTTAGATTTGCTGCATGATGTTAATTAAAACAACAGAGATCATAAGGACTAGAGCCTATTTACAAAGTTCTCGTTAGCTAACAAGAGCTCATTAATCTCTCATTAGGGAGGAAAAGATTTCAGGAAGCTCTCATTAGTTCTCATGCTTGTTGCTGTGTTGTTTCCATGTTTTATCATACACATGCATAATAAATGAAACAAAGGTTGCTTAGGTACTGTAGATTGTTTTTATGGAATACGGCTCATCTTTTATTACAGTCAAACAAAGCAGACGAAACTGTATGGTTTCAGCCTCTTAAAATTAGAGAGTTTGTGTATTTGTGACCCTTTTTACAAAAGATTTTCAGACTGTCAGACTGTTTTGACAATGCAGTGTAAAATGAAAAAAAAATTGCAGTTGAACTCTACGAGAGAACATATCCATAATGTATGGTTGAAAATCATTAAGTTTTCTCATTAATGACCAGGTTCATTAGAATACTTCTCATTAGAAAACTTACCTAAATTATGTTCTCATTAGAACCCTGGACAGTTAAAAGTCCAGATTACGTACTAGTACATGTATACCAGATACGGAAGTGATACAAAATTACCACAAGAAAGTTCAACACACTTGTCAGCTAAAAAAGTAATCCCTTTTAATATTTGTGTTCATCACACAGCAACACTAAGACTTGCTGCAACACACCACACCATTATTTTTTTTTTGAAAAAGAAGTTTTTTTACAAATTCATAATCAATACATGGCCTCCATGTTTCAGGTTGTAGTTTTGTCTCCCGAAGCTCTGCAGACTGCAGCATGCAGAAGTCAAGAAATGCTGGCTGTGTTACATCCTATGAAGAATGAAACTAGCCACAACATGGTAGGTATCTCACCTATTGGGGTACTGGGTGCACTCCTGAACAATAAATTTTCTCCAAATTTGTCACTTGCGGTGTCCAAACTTTTGATTTCCCTTATTATCCAGCTGTAAGATTATGACATTTTATCTAGAGAATTTTGGTATGTATTAAACTTGATTACCAGAGCCAATATTATATCTGTTACAATGGTAGAAATAAAGAGAAAAACTTTTTGAGTAAGATAAACTGTTTGAATAAAACTTCTTGTTGGAGATGAACTATTTTACTATCAAAGTTTGAAGAGATGGGTATTAATGTTGCAGTTAAACTGTGGGGCATTTTATTATGTAGAACTGTTGTCTAAGTGCTATGGTTATAGTATTAATTATAATATATTATTTCTTAATAAGGTTGCACAATGCTAATCACATAAAGCTGTTAAGCACTGCTAAGAACAAAGATTGTCAATAAACACTTGATATTGTTTTAAAACTACAGTTTTGCACCTGATTAAAACATTCCTCAATAATTCACTCTTTCCAGACACATGCCCTCAAAGCACTGTGCAATATGACACAACACCAGTGGAAAAGTCTGTCCCAAGAACTCCAAAGAATGGTAGATGCTAAGAAATTATCAAAAATGGTGAGTAACCTTAGGCAAAGGAACAATGAAGTGTTAACCCTTTGCTGTATTGTCAATATAAACATCTTAGTAGGCTTAATGATATTTCTCATTATATATAAAATTTGTAACCATTATATTCAGTATCTCTGTTAATCCCTTACTTTGGTGTATTGTTTTTTGGTAATAGAGGGCATATGTATAAAATAAATCACTTAATGTCTCACCTCACTATTTCAGTTAAAAATGTCAGAAATGAATATCACGGCTGCAGAAAAGAGGGTTAAGAAACTGGATGTGTATGTAAGTATGTTAATAGGAACACATTATCCTAAGCTGTTGGACAGATATCTGCTGCTTTGACAACAGCTGAGGATTTGATTATCTCCTTGATAGCAGCTGTCTCTTCATCAACAGCTTGGATTATGATGTTTGTAAAACAGTTGAAATGACAAAAAAGTTTAAAGAGAAACATGTCCCATGTCTGCATGTGCTTGTGAGTATACATGCACCCTTAACAGGTTTAACCTTGTAAAAATTTACAATTATTTCCATGAAAGGTTATTTATTAGGTGGTAAAAATGAATGTATATTTTTTAGATCTTATTTTTGCATTTATAAAATACTGAAGCTTACATCAAGTCAACTTAATAGTAACCTTAAAAATCTCATTGTTGGGTTTTTGATATTTGTCTTATCACTGACAGCAAGTGTTTTTCATGTCATTTCCTGTGTAGCATAAGTGCTACAGCTATCTACTGGCCCTTAAAATAATATTTTGATATGTTTCTCTTTTTATAGGTGAAAAAGTATACATGGTTCCAGAAAAATTTGTTGGAGTTAAGTCAGTTTGCATCAGCTATGCCCCAAGACTCATGCAGAGGAAATATTGATCGCTATGGTAACATCATTACGACAACCACCACCACCACAACAACGACTACTCCCTCATCATTTCAAGAAGCTGTACACATGGCAGAGGTGGGTTGATTAGTATCATTTTGTAATTCATCATTTGCCTGTTGGATCAATCAGCTGTTTTTCTGATTTATTAATCCCAGGCTTATTTCAAGTATCTTTATTATGCTTATTATGCAGTTTTGGTTTTTGTGTTTTGTGTGGTTTTTCTGTGAATTTGAAATGTTACTAGTTATTTTTAGGATTATTGAAAAGCTTTTGAGAGATGCCCATATTATTAAGGAGAAAATAAACTGGGGACTTTCTTCAAATGTATCTCCATGAAATGTTTGAAAAACTGCTTCATGCACTGGAAGTGACAATATTTTTGGGAAGTAATGACAGTGACTTGTATAAAAACGCTGTTATTTCTAGCCTCCAGAGAAGACGATGACCAAGGTAAAAGATAACAAGTTTGCAGGTTTAATGAAAATCTGGAGTGGATTGCAGAAGACAATATGTGGCAAACCTTTCAAGCTCACTGACGAACAAGTACAGCAGTTTGCAGAAGACAGAGACTTCAGTAAGTGACAAACATTTTCATTTCAAATTCTCAATCATTTGTGGCCTAATGTCAGTTGATATGTGATTGATGTTTTGATATACAGGTCTTAGCTTGCTCCAAAATAAAATTTCTTTTTGCAAAATACATGGAGGTTTTTATTCAAATCAATCTTTTAAACTATTTAAGGATAAATTTGATGAAGATTTATTGATCTAAAGTTAAAAATTAAGCCTCCAAGATTAGTTCCAGAAATGTATAATAATAATAATAATAGGTGTTTTTAGTATATAAATAACTGTGCTTTTATTATGTACTGACATCTTTGCTCATATTTCAGAGTCTCTGGGGTTGTCTAAGGAGCAGGAATTTGAGATTGGAATCTTGGTCCATGTGTTATACAGTAACCCAAAGGTGTTATTTGCTCCAAACAACTCTGCTGCTGTGCAGAACATCATGAAAAAGGTATGGTTCCAGACATATGTTTTGTATATTGTCCATTAAATATTTGATCTTTAACACATACAGGCATATTAGACTTTGTACAGTAATTTCTTTTGTTTATAAAAAAAGTTCTCTTATGAAAAGTTGGAGTCATCATAATTAGTTATATTGAAGTTTAGCCTAGTGAAAAAAAAAGGTAAAAAAGGATCTGCTCCTTGGTCCTAAGTCAAAAGTTATGCTGTGCAATATTTTGTAGAAAAGCAGATCATTTTATGATGCAATGTTCATTATAAATTCTAGGCCAATGAAACATTTGCCCTGTTTGATGAAATAACCCAGTACGCCAAGCAGTGGCTGAAAGTGTCATATGATCTACGGGACTACCTGAACCAATCATCTACCAGACAAAACTTGCTGTCATTGCAAGAAGTAGGTCACTTATTTGTATGTGATATAGATTTAAATCTTTTTTCTTCAGAATTTAACTGAATTTTTAATTTTGTTCTTGTTGGCTTTTACATATTTTGAATTGTATTATCCTAGTTTTAGATGGAATCTCAGCTTTTTCAATCCTATAGTCCTTATTTTAGGTGCAACCTAACATTCTGACTCATGTGCTCCCTATTTTAGATGCAGTCTACAATTAGAAACCAGTACAGCATCCTGCCACGACTGAATATCAAGCACCCGGGCATCAACACATTCATCTACAACCTGACCATTCCCACAGTGGATGAATTCCTCCATGAACTGGATGGCATTGACAGTGCAGCCTGCAGCTGGATCACCCTGGTCAATGGCATCAGTTTCAATATATTTGAAGGATTTAGGACAGAGAAGGAACTGGTGGACTATGTACTGCATAAAGCTTTTTCTCAAAATAAAACTGTCCTTGCTAGTAAGTGCTTTCTTCACTGTGTCAGATCTTTCTTGAATTTAACACCCTAGCCAGATATTTTTATGTGCTGTAAGTGTTGAGAAGTCTTATTCATTTCACCACTGATATCATTGGTGTTTTATGAATGTCAGAGAAATTTAATCACCTCTATCATTTCTGCCCTCATTCATACAGTTCTGCAGCTTTGAGTGGTTGGTCCAACAAATTGAATAGCATCTTTAAATTGAAAAATAATTCAGTGGGCATTGCATTTGTTAAAGGTGACAATTTCATGCTCTTCTCTTATTGATGAAGAGAGTGTATTTTTCAGGTGTTGTTTTCACCAACATGAGGCCAGATGGTACCTTGCCACCGCATGTTGTCTACAAAATACGCCAAAACGCCTCATTTACAGAAACTACCAAGGCTGTGCGCCCGCGCTACTGGAGCCCAGGCAACAGGCGCAATGGGTTCAAGTACTACTTCTTTGGCTTTGTCTGGATTCAGGATGTGGTGGAGAGAGCCATCATTAATCTCCAGACTGGCCGGGATATCATAGAGCCTGGCAGTTACATTCACCAGTTTCCACAGCCCTGTTTCATGTATGATCAGTTCATCTTAATGATAGAGCATGTGATGCCATTGTGCCTGACCATCTCCTGGGTCTACTCCGTCGCCATGCTGGTCCAGGGGATAGTCTACGAGAAAGAACAGCGACTGAAGGAGGTGATGAAGATGATGGGACTGAACAACGCTGTCCACTGGCTGGCCTGGTTCATCACCAGTTTTGGACAGATGACCGTTACCATGGGGATGGTGACCATCATCTTGAAGTATGGGAATATTCTGACTTACAGTGACCCCCTCTTGGTGTTCTTAGTGCTGGAGTGCTTCGCCTTGGCCACCATATCATTTTCGTAAGTATGGGGAGGAGTATGTGAATCACAGGGTTGTGGTAGGCTGTGTGGATATCTTGCAAAATTATAAAGGCAGTGATCATTTCAAGCATTGAAAACTGCAAGTTTATTGCCTGTTTTTCTTTTCTACTATTCAGTATTATCTCTTGTAGGAAGTACTGAATTTTACATGAAAGAATAGAGTTAATAAGCAGTTTGTTTTGATTTACCACAATGTAACATGTAAAACTGTTGTTAATATGTTTAATATTTATAAAAAATATTTTACACACATTTTAGATTTTTCCTGAGTGTGCTATACTCTAAGGCCAAGCTGGCAGCAGCCTGTGCTGGAATCATCTATTTTCTGACTTATGTACCATATATGTACATTGCCATAAGGGAGGAGGCTGCAGGGGATAAGGTGTCTGCTGTCACCAAGTCTATAGCTGTAAGTACAGGGAGATCCCAAACAGGTTTTCTTTTAGGGCTAGGGCTACTTAGTATTATAAAGATTTATGGTACAATGTTATTGAACATGTCAGTACAATGTTCTATGGTTTAAATGTATTTTGAGTTTTACACTGATTTGGTTTTCAGTTCAGAATGTGGACCACAACTTAAACAAATTAGTTTAAGATTTACTTGGATTCTGTCCCGAGTGTGGATCACAGATTTGGGTTTGGTGCCAAATACATGTAGTTAAACATAGGTTTTGTTTATTTGCCAAGAACTGTAGACTTTGATTACTTCCTGATGTGGACCATTTGTTGCCTTCCAGTCCTAAATATGGACCACAGCAATATTAATAAGTACCATATAC